ACTTATGGTTATGTGTTGGTACCCAATTATTAATTGGGTGTTATTTTGATGTAGACAGTTCAAGAATCTATCATCCAGCAGCAAGGGTTTTTTCTGCAGGACTCCAGCAGTGTGAAGTGAGTCTTCTCCTATAGGAACGGATCTAAGGCACCAAGGTCGGCCCGTTTATGTATGTTAGTGTATGTCGAACATAGGTACGATGCTGGGGTTAGTCCGACGTAGATTATATGTTTCCGGACTTCGGTCCGATGCCGGTTTTCGGACTTCGGTCTGATGTCGGTGCAACCCCGAGGAATGTTTGTATGTTTAATGTCTTCATGATTCTTACATGTGTGTGTTAGTGTTCCGGACTTCGGTTCGATGCCAGCACAAGCCCGATGAATATTTAGCTTATTTGTTATGTGTTATGTGTTCCGGACTTCGATCCGATGCTGGCGCAAGCCCGAGGAATTTTTATTTGCTTATATTATTTGTTTATGATATATGCTTGTTAATATGTTATATGTTTACCGGACTTCGGTCCGATGTCGGGCGTGGCCTGATGTCGGATGCGTCCGATGTTGGGTGGGGCGTGATGTAGCGGGCAAGGCCCAATGTATGTTATTATGTGATGATGTGTTTGGTATGTGGTAGTTTGGGGAGACTCGCTAAGCTTCGTGTTTACAGTTTTCAATTTTAGTTTCGGGTACTTTCGGTAGCAAGGGGAAGAGCTCGGGATGATTGTAGTGCACACAACATTTATAGTCTCATATATTTTGATAGATGTTATGATATTTTGAGATACACTAATTATGATTTTTATTTGATGTCTGATGATTATGGTTTTCTTAATAATTAAAAACAAAATTTTTGGACTGTATTTTGGGATGTTACAGTTGGATAGAAATTCCTAATTTCGATGACGCCTTATGATATAGGGAATGCTTGCTATATGTTACTTGATTGTGCGATTGTTGTGTGTAAATTGATTAGTAGTATATGGTCGGGATTAAATAGCCTTATAATGATCGACTTAACCCTACTTCATGTTTCTTGTTTGATTGTGGACTTAGCGCATAGTCGATTATTCGACAGTCTATCTGACCATGTATTGTGTACGACAAGCATGCACAAAAGCAATCAGTTAAGCGAGAGCGAGGTTAATCCTAGGAGGAGTACCTAGAGAGTTAGTTGTAGCCAGTAGAAGTTTGTAGCAGTTAGCGCGCCTAGGAGTGGTCTAGTGTAGTTCCTTAGGACCTTGGGATAACTTTTTAATCGACTGTGGATATGTGTGGAAGGTAATATGGACCCGTACTACTGAAAGCAAAATATCCATATGAGATTCAGGAGGAACCTCGAGGTAACTAAGGAACTAATAGAATGGTATATTAGTGTGTTAAGCACTGTGTTTAATGTCTGACCTTTCCATGGTGTATTTTTCAATATGGCAACTATTGAAGATTTGGGATCCGACGCTGCTGGTACTGGGGGAGTACGTTTGAGTGAGGAGGAGATTTGCATGATCGTTGCTACCAATGTGGCCGTGGTGATCAAGTAGGTGATTCTAGAGTTGTATGGGTTAGTCAAGACCGCTTTGATCATGGAGTTTGACTGGCACTATTTCTTCGTCACGCAGGTAGTTGTTGTCGCAGCCACAGCAGTCGTCGCCATTTCAAGATCTAAGGGAGGCGGGGTGATGCAGTACCGAGGGTTTAGTTATACAAAGCCTCTGTAGTTCAAAGGCGATAGGGACCTGGTCATCGCTTCAAGACGGATTTCTGAAATGGAGGGATTTTTCTTCAAGTGTTCATCTCCTGAGGCCCAAAATGTGAAATTTGCACTGAATATTCTTCGTTAGGGTGCGAAGGATTGGTGGGAGTTTTTGAACCAGGGATTTTCACATGCAGAGCGAACTGTAGTGACTTGGGAGCAGTTTTTGGATATGTTCCGAGTGAAGTATGTTCCACTTATGGGGCGGGAGCTACTAGCATAGGAGTACCTGTGACTCAAGTAGACGGCTGAGTCGGTAATGGAGATCACCAAGATGTTCACATAGAAGGCTCTTTTCCGCCCTGATCATGCCATTTTAGAGCAAGTGCAAATGTCACAATACCTGAGTATGCTCAAGACAGAGATTCGAGCATTTTTATCTACTCAGCAGTACCAGACCTTAACCAAGATGCAGTCAAGCGCCAGGAGGGAGATTGATTTGGAGATTCAGCAGAAGGAGGAAGTGTAACAATTGAGAATTTTACATCAATAATCGTTACTAGGAGATAGGATCGACTCATAATAACAAAAAAGCTTCTCATATTGAAGGATAATATGGAAAGTTGAGACGAAAATAAAGTAATCAAAAAAGTTAAAGTGGTTAGTGTATTTAAAAAAATACACGACCTAATGATCCCAAAAATATAAACGGCTAGAAAAACTAACTCAGATTGGAAGAGTTATGATTTTATGCCGAATAGAAACCAACCACGTTAATACCTCTATTGACACAAAAAATAGCAAAAAGATAATAGTTGAGTTTTGGATAACACTACAAAAAGGAAATTGAAGCATGAGATAAGAACTTGGGAAGGAAGGAGGAAAAAAGTAAGTAGTATGAAGGAGATACAATTTTTATAAAATATAAAAATGTGGGTTAAATATGAAAGTTAAAATTAGAATATGCAACCTAAGGATAGTTGTAGTTCTAAGAAAGAGCTACACAAATATATAAAGAGGGTAAGAAACAAAGTTCATATGAAGAAAGTATGAATTTTTAAAAAGGATTTAAGGGTGTGCGTCAATATGCACACCATGCCCATTGCGCACATCTAACCACCACACTCGTCGGAGATTTGGATACGTAGACCACCAGAAGGGTGACACCTGGCAAGATTTGCATGATCCATGAAGAAAGTGCACGTCGTGCAGGAGAGTGCCCAACACGCACAATCACTATAAATAAAGGTGCTTGCTTCTTGGTTTTTCATCTCAAACCAACCTTCAAACTCTTTTTTTATACTTCAATACCCTCTTGATGGCAAGAATCTCTGGTTGCAAAGGTTCTGGCGCTTCTCGATATGCTATTAGAGTGAGTTCATGACCCATGTTTTACTGCTTTAAAATGTTTTCAGGGGGGAGGAATACATTCTCAACAAATAATTTTATACAAAATATTTATTTTATAAATATTAAGTCATTATATAATAAGCTAAATGCCTTACGATAGTATCACTGTAGATACTATGCCTACATTTAAACTAGGATATGTAACTAAAGGATATGGTGCCCAATAATCTAAGAGACAAATCCCTAGGAAACCATAAGTACCTAGGAATTATGCTAGACAAGAGTTAGCATATGCATTATACTTAGTTGTTACGCTGCCCAAATATCCTGTTAAAATAACCACAATTAGGGTATGTCTCTGTGTGTGTGTGTGTGTGTATATATATATATATATATATGACATTTTATATATATCAGATAATTATGAGATCATAAATATAATTAATAAATACACACATACATACATACATACATACATACATACATACATACATACATACATAAATACATACATACATACATACATACATATATATATATATATATATTGAAATCATTTGATGATATATACCCAAGAGAGGTATAAACAAAGATAGTATGATGTGTGTCTGTGCGTTATATATATATATATATATATATATATATATATATATATATATATATATATATATATATATATATATATATAAAGATATTGCATATGCATATGGGTAATTATGATAAAGATAAAAGATTAAATGATAAAAGATAAATGCCTAGGATTAATGTGTTAGTGAGTTGGTTAGTTATACAAAATCCTTGATTAAATTTGGCATATCCGTTATACCTATAATTGTTAGTCTGGAGAGAGCTAGGAAGTTATGCATAGCTTTATATAGGACCATGACAACCCCACCTACGATTTCTAGCTACAATCCTGGCAGGAAACCTTTCATATAAGTTACTATTTAACGTCCGATGACGCGTTGTGATTAGGGGTACATTTACAGTTGTAGCGTCGAATATAGTAACTCATGTTAATACATTTAAAATTGTCTTTGAACTTAGATTACCATTAGGGACGCCTAGTATGGTAATTAAAATACTTTAGAATCGTTAGAAATCCTTAAAAGATAGTAAATTAGGGTTAACAAAAGATAATCCTAATTAAAATACGTTTGGATCGTTAGATATCTTGAAAAGAAAGTAATTTAAGATTTATAAAAGATGCCCTAAAAATATAGAAGGCTAGGTAAACAAATACAAAAGGTTTTCATAAAAGAAAAGTATTCTTAAAGGAATTCAACAATAAAAACTCGTGCACTGACCGGCGTTATGTTGGCTTTCAAAATGCATGTATTCTCATATCAATAGGAGTGACACTCTTTATACCATCACACCACTCGGTGTTTTCGCCAAAGGTCGGGTAGGGGGTCTGACATAGATAGTATCAGAGCATACTTTTAGCTATATCGAATTAGTATTTCCTTAGGAATAGCAACATAGTATTTCTTTAGGAATTACAACTATAACTAAGGTCAAATACTCTGATTGGGTTTCTCCTTAAACCTATAACTAAAAATTTTATACCATAAAAGTTTCCTACAGATAGATTATTTATTGGAAAGGTAACTAGACTAGACTGTTGCATTGGGCTGCTGGATTTCAAAACAACTATATGCCAAAATGGTCCTGCCAACCAAATATCTAGGCTGTCCATACATAGTCTAGAAGTATAAAAAAAAATAATAACCTGCCAATCACAAATAAACATATATGGAAATGCAACACATAAAGATAAATATCCAAGAAATTCAGTGTGTAAAAGTTGAGTCACTCGTAAGCATAGCCTAATCAACTATGTTTAGTCTTGACTGGACCAATACAACATTTGAATTGGGATAGACAAATGAAACATAAAAACCATAAATATATAAATACAATCCCAAACTAAATAAAATATGTCAAAATATGTCATAAATCTAGTCATCACTACCCTCCGACTCGGTCTCAGTCTCCTCGTCGTCGTCATCGTCGCCATCGTCATTGGTGTCTCCAAGAAGCGTGCTTGAAGGACCGACACCATTGTAACCAATGATGTGTGGCTGAGAAGGGGGTGGTACCACATGATCCACATTAGAAAAGGGCAGATGATCCATCCCCGGATGTTGTGTTACAGCAACAAGCGAAGCCATCATCCAACGGTTCTCCTACATTACAACGGCAAGACCTTGCATCAAATTTCCAAGTGTAGGCTTCTGACGATTAGGCTCCATGTGCATAGGTCTTTGAAGCCTCACAAAGGCAGGGTCATGAATGACCTCTGACTCTACATGCCGAATCGGCTCGACGATGTCATCCCCCAGTACCCGCCATGGCTGGCCCGTCTCCCTAGTCAGCACCCGCATCATCCTGATAGTTGTAGTACCCAACTCCTAGATAGATATGGGGACCATCCTAACCCAGTAAACCCCGCAAATCATGCTTAAGGACGTGGTACCTAGAGCCATACCAGATTGGTAAAGAGTGAGGGAGAAAGGAAGGTGAAGATGAACCTTCGTATGAGTGAAGTACCACATATAGAAAAGGTCTCCAGAAAGAGCCTTATCACACTCATGTCTGTGACAAATGATGGATGAGACCAGTCGGTGAAGCAACCAATAGATAGAAGAGTGGAAGACGCTCTCCTTAGTCGATGATGAGACATAGTTCCCCCGAGCATGGGCCCAAACTTGCATAAATCCATACTCCTGCGGAGGAGAAGTGATACAATTGTCCAAAAATGCATAAAAATGAGGACTTAGAGTGTCCTCAACATTATAAATCCCTAGACGCCTCCCCAACTTGATGAGGCTGCAGGAGCAGGATACGCATCCCAGGCGAAAAGAAAACATTAAATGATCGGCCCAGAGCCTCGACTCCTTGTCGAAGCTAACCGTCGAAAATAACTCCAAGCAGAGCACATGGTAGATCACCTCCCAAATCCCGATAACCCTCCACCAGTCGTGGCAGAAAAAAAGCTCGAGACCTCTATCATCCTGAATTGATCGGGTGAGGAATGGTACTAGCTGAGCAAACAAGCCAGAGTTATCCACCACATTCCTATAAAGAGCCTGAGGAATGTTGACATTCTTGGATAGAAGGGCAATCAGGTAAGAAATGAAAGTACTCTGATCAACAAGGTCATCAAGGAACTGTAAGAAAGGATGCATTGGCCAGTTAGGAGGTAACTGACCTGCAGCCTGACGACCCTGTCTCGACATATCTAAAGCAAAATAAGGCAAGGAAACAGTTAGAATTAATTTTGGATAACTTAAAATGAAGATGGAATTGAAGTAGTGCAGACGCGCCAGATGCAGGCATGCGGTGCAAACACATCTGTGCATCGCGCTCCAAGAACACGAAGAACAACAGACATGGCAACGTGTTGTTGCGTCAAATTTCCAGCCAAAAAATCATTTATGAATGCTCAGATAGTCCTCTAGAACACATATAGGCTTCACATTTCATCCAAAACAACAGCAAATTCCTATTTTTAGTTCAAAATATTAAAAAATTATAAAAAAATCAAAATGAGAATCAATAGATGAATTAAACCCAAAATTGAGTATATAGGAAGTAAAATCGGTAGTATAAGACACTATATTACTCCTCAATGTCACAAAATACAACATAAATTCTTCAAAAGATAAAATCCTCTAAAAACCGTAAAAATTCAAGATTTAGCCCATAATTTAGGTTAGGATCTAGCATAAAGTTTACCTATGTTGGATTAGGTGTCTAAGCCCGTAACTATAACTGGTATGTACTTGATTTGATAGTAGCATGGTCCTTTTGGGTTGTCTTCACCATAACAACTGGACAGGATGAGTTTTGGAGTAAGAGGTTATTTAATGGTTTATTAATATATTATAAAAATAATATATTAATTGAGAAATTATATTATTTAATTAGTATTGATCAAAAATTAATTTGGAATTAATTTAGTGGTCAAAGGGACTGATTAATAGAATAGGGACTGATTATGTAAATCAGCGATAGTTGTAGTTTTGGGCTATTAGACTCTAATAATAAGGAGTAGATGAAAATCTATGGCAAGCCCATAGAGTTTTCGTCCAAGGCCTATCATATGGGGGTCTATGGATTGCTTAGGGCCTAAGCAAGGGAATTAGGGTTTCCAGCTGAAAAACCCTAGCAGCCTTAACAATAAAAGGGACCCCCAGCCTTAAGAAATCATCCTGCCTACATTCTAAAAGAAAACCTAGCCGATTTCACACACACACTCTCTCGCATTCTTGCTTGTGGTGTTTGTGACTCCATTAGAGGTGCAACACTTGGAGCACTAGGCTTTCAAAGGCCAAGGAATTAAAGTGAGGATTACTTGTTACTACTAGCTAACAACAAAGGTATTCATCTAAACCCTAATATGATTAGATTTTGGTTTTATATATAGATATAGGGTTCTTGCTTTTGAAAATTAATTTGCAAGTAAAACTTGAGAAAAGCCTAGATCCAAAGCAGTTAGGGTAACATGTGCACATAGGAATGTTGTAATGCTCAAAACCCATCAACCTAGTAGTAGAGTGATCGAATAGAGTGAAGAAATCAACAAAAATTAGTAGGCGCACCAAGTGCTCACCGTGTATGTGGGCCCCAATAGAGACAAAGCAGATAAAGGCAGAAGCAATGTTCGAATGAAGCCAAAAATCGACTTTAATGATGATCTAATGTCTGTCCACAAAGCGAGGATCATATGCACGACGTACATGCGTAAGATTATTTTTTAACAATTTTGACACTACTAATACCCTAAAATAACCAAGGACTTTAGGAATAAAATTTTATGACAAGGAAGAAGGAGCTTCCTTGGAATGATCGGTAAGTTGCTAAGAAAGCAACGACATCATGCTATGATCAGTAAGTTGTTAGGGAAACAACTGTAAGTTGCTAGGAAAGCAACGACAACATGCTATGATCAGTAAGTTGTTAGGGAAACAATAGTAAGTTGCTAGGGAAGCAAAAAATAGCATGCTATAATCGGTAATTTGCTAGGGAAGTAATAATAAGTTACTAGGGAAGCAACAATAGCATGCTATTATCAGAAGGTTGCAAGGAAGGAAACTAAAAGGTGTAATTTCAACAGTAAAAACTTAGTAATCCTCTCATCTATTGTTTCAGGAAAACAACCCTGCTATGCTAACCCTGCTTAACCTAACCGTCATCCAAACCATGATTTAACATTATGTCTCTAATGCATTAGGGAATCTCAGAGTTTACCATGGAGAATGAAGCAGCAAAGAAAGTAGCCAAGCCTACCAGGATTTTCTTCATAGTAATCCATGATCCTTCTATGGAGATGAAGGGGTAAATGACCTAATCTAATGGATCAAACGAAAAGATATTAGGTGTAATAAGGAGGTTAGGGTAAATTTTGCAACTTTCAGTCTCATGGGGAAGGCCCTCATCTGGTGGAGTATCCAGATAAGGCCTTAGGAGTAGATGCAGCCTATGTAATCTCTTGTGAATAGTTAAAAAGGTAAATGATAAGAGAATTCTATTTTACGAGAGATTTGGCCCGAGTAGAACATGAATTCAGTCAATTAAACACTAGGAAGTCCAATCTAGCTTTCTAAACCATATGCTTTGAGGACCTAGCCATGGTATTCTTAGAACTGATTGGCTCAGAGAGTAAGAAAATAAGTGCATATCTCCCAGGACTAGCAACTCATGTTGGGAAGCAGATACAAGCATACAAGCCCCACACCTTTGAGGAAACTAAGCAGCCAGCATTCCATTTTAGGGAAACCAAAGTCCTAGATGGCATGATTAAGGCTAGGGAATTTGGAAGAAAATGGAGAAATCTCAACAAGGAATGACCAAGTTGACCTTTGTACAAGAGAAAAGAGGAAAGGAAGCCTCCAATGGTTGTTCCCTAAAAGGGATACTTGGGAAGATTTTCCGTATGCAGTAATAGTGGACTACACTATCTCGGTAGTTATGAAGATTTCAAGTGCAAGGAGTGCGGAAAAAGCATGACATATTGCAGATGCATGTAAGAGTCAACAAATCCACTAAAGGAATACTAGAAAATAATAGGAATAGGAATGTGAGAGGAAAGGAATCCCCACAAAAATAATTGTAAGATTTTTCTGAGGATGACAGGAATCCTCGAAGTTTAAAAATTTTAATAAAGAGTTCATTTTAATAGTAGCTTTAAATTGATTAAATAAAACATGGAAATCCCTCTAGAAATCCTTAACCAAAGTTTGATAGATATTTTAGGTTTCCTATATGTGTAAAATAGGATTAAATTTGATTAGATTACTAAGGATTAAGTTAAGGAATTAGAATTAGATAACTAACAAGGAAATTTAATTAACTCAATAAGTAGGGAAAAAAGGAATCGACTTCTTTTATAAGAAATTGCTCTCCCCATTTAAAATTTAGATAACACTCGAATTTCGAGGACGAAATTCCTAAAACAAGGGAAGAATGTAACAATTGAGAATTTTCCGTCATTAATTGTTACTAGGAATTAGGGTCGATTCATAATAACAAAAAACTTCCCATGATGAAGGATAATATAGAAAGTTGAGTCGAAAATAAAGTAATCAAAAAGTTAAAATGGTTATTGTATTTAGAAAATATGCGACCTAATGATCCGAAAAATATAAACATCGAGAAAATCTAACTCTGATTGGAAAAGTTATGATTTTATGACGAATAGAAACCAACCACATTAATAAAGCTATTGACGTCAAAATTAGCTAAAAGAGAACGGTTAAGTTTCAGCTAACACTACACAAAGAAAATTTGTAGTATTCATCAGATAAGAACTTGGGAAGGAAGAAGGGAAAAAATGGAAGTCGTATGAATGAGATACAATTTTTAAACAATATAAAAATGTGGCTTAAAAATGAAATTTAAAATTAGAAGATGCAACCTAAACGAAAGTTGTAGCTCTAGGAAAGAACTATACAAATATCTAAAGAGGGTAAGAAACAAAGTTCATATGGAGAAAATATGAATTTTTAAAAAGGATTAAAGGGTGTGCATCAATGTGCACGCCATGCCCGTCGCGCACATCTGAACCCCAGATTCGTCGGAGGTTTGGAAACATGGACAACCAGAAGGGTGATACGTGGCAAGAGTTGGATGAGCCACGAAGCAAGTGCATGTCGTGCAACATAGTGCCCGGCATGAACCATCACTATAAATAAATGTGATTGCTTATTGGTTTTTCATCTCAAACCAACCTTCAAATTCTCTTTCTCTATACTTCAATAACCTCTCGATGGCAAGAAACTCTAGTTGCAAGGATTCGGGCGCTTCTTGATACGCTATTAGAGTGAGTTCACGACCCTTGTTTTACTGTTTTAAAATGTTTTCATGGGGGATACATGCTTAATAAATGATTTTATAAAAATATTTATTTTATAAATATTAATTCATCTTATAATAAGCTAAATGCCTTAGGATAGTATAATTCTAGATACTATGTCTAGATTTAAGCTATGATGTGTGTCTAAAAGATATGATGCTCAATAATCAAGGAGTAGGTATTACCTAGATGTTATAATGGTCAAATCCCTGGGAAGCCTTAAGTACCTAGGAGTTATGCTAGATAAGATTTAGGATATGCATTTATTTTGTTGTAACGCTACCCAAAAATCCTGTTAAAATAACCATAATTAGGATGTGTGTGTGTGTGTGTGTATATATATCAATTGATGATATATACCCGGGAGAGGTATATACAAAGATAGTGTGATGTGTGTGTGTATATGTATATACATATACATATTATATATATATATATATATATATATATATATATATATATATAGTTATGATAAAGATCAAAGATTAAAAGATAAAAGATAAAAGCCTAGGGTTAATGTGTTACTGAGTTGGTTATTCATCCAAAACCCTAGATTAAATTCGGCACATCCCCAATAACTATAATCAATAATATTTCGAAAGCTAGAAAGTTATGTATAGATCTATACGGGGCCATGACAACCCCACCTGCAATTGCTAG